CCCCCCCCCCTCGCCCTCCTCCGGCCAGAACTCTCGCTTCCCGGCACCGTGCAGGTATGCCTGACGGCCGACTTCGCCCCCATCGACGGGCCCCTGGGCAGCGGCGGCCAGGCGCGCGTGTTTGCCGCGCGCGCCATCGGCACCGGGGTGTCCACGCGCCTCGGCTGCCCGGACACCGTGGCCATCAAGCAGCTGAAGGCCGACAGCCTGACCCCGCTGCAGGTGGCCCTCTTCCAAAATGAGATTGCCCTCATGTGGTGCGAGCCCCGTGGCCTGGCGCTTTCCCCGCGCGCGCGCCCTTTTCGCGTCCCCCCCCCCTCCCCTGCCGACGGACCACGATGACCCCGCCTAACCGGCCTGGCCCCCGCCCTTCTCCCCCCCCCCCCCCCCCCGCGGCCTGGCCAGGCTCCTCCGCGACCAGCCGCACATCGTGCGCATCTACGGCTTCTGCGACCAGCCGGCGGCCATCATCATGGAGCGCTTCGACACCGACCTGGCCGGGCTCCTGCACTCGGCCGTGGACCTGCCGCTGCGCACGCGCCTCCACCTGGCCAACCAATGGGCCACCGGGCTGGAGGCCATGCACGCCCAGGGGATCGCCCACTGTGACCTGAAGCCGGGCAATGTCCTCGTCAGCCGGTCGGCCGGCGGCTGGCGCGCGGCCCTCGCCGACCTCGGCACCAGCCGCAACCTCCGCACCGACCGGGCCTCGGCCCTGCTGGTCACCGTGCCCCAGCTCAATGCCCTGTCCTCGCGGTATGCCGCGCCCGAGGTGCTCGATGCCTTCCACCGGCGCCGCGCCATGGATGCGGACCTCTACCTCCCGGCGGATGTCTACTCCGCGGCCGTCCTCCTGTGGGAGTGCCTCGCCCGCGCGGCCCCCTGGCAGGGCCACTCCTTCGCCCAGATTACCGAGCATGTCCAGGCCGGCCAGCGCCCCGATGACCGCCTGGCCACCGGCCCCGTGGCCGACACGGCCCCGGACCTGGCCCACACCCTGGCCCACACCCTGGGCCTCCTTTGGGCACCGGACCCCGCGGCCCGGCCCCCGGTGGCCAGCCTCCGGCACACGGTCGCCACCCTGGCCGTCATGCTTCCCGACCCGTGAGGCGCTCCCCTGCCCGGCTCCCGGAATACACTGCTCGCCCCCCCCCCCCTGCCCGGGCCATTGTCATCCTTTCCCCGTGCTCCGCCGGCCCCTCGCAGGGCATGCTGGCACCGGCGCCAATGGCGCCCTCGGCATTCGGGCCCCCGGTGGCAGCGTGCCCGCCGCCCACGCGCCATCCAAGCGAGCAGGGCACAGCCGGCTACACCGCCTTCCCTGCCCGGCGGCCTGCCGATCGCGCCGGCCGCATGCCCGCATGCACTCTTAGGGGTCTGGGCACCGATGCAAGCAACCCCCGCCGCGGCCCCTTCCATGCCCCACGCGCTGGCACTGCGCCGGCCCCTTGGCCATGCGCGAGACCGCCTGGGGACCCATCCGCCTGTGGGCGGCCCTCCGGCCGGTCCACCGCATGTCGCCCTGCCACGGGAGAGGGGGAGGATGCCTCGGTGTCGGCCCGCCTGGCCAGCAAGGACATGCCATGGGAGAGGGGGGGGGATATCTCGGTGTCGGCCCGCCTGGCCAGCAAGGACATGCCCTGGGTCGGGTGCCCGGCCCGGCAGAGCTGCTCGCATCCGGACACCGGGGCGCCAAGCAAGCGATGCCCCGGCCGAGCGCCGCCGCGCCTCCACGCGCCCCCCTGCTGGAGCCCCACAGCGCGGCGGCCGGCCGGCGATGTCTGCCCCTCGCCCGCACATGTACACGCCCATGTACACGCACACGTACACGCACACATACACGCACACATACACGCACACGTACACGCACACATACACGCACACG